GATATGAACTAGACAAATAAAAAATAGTGATATTCTGTCGAGATGCCATTATATAGTGGTGCCCAATTGTAGTCCTCCTTAATTCGTGCGTCAATTTGTTAAAATATCAGATTGAGTTTTCAAAGGCACTTTGCCTATAACAAAATGCAATCGCTGTTCCAGAAAAATGACCCAGTAGTTATTATACATCCGAGCGATTCTCTGTGATCTTCTTAGCGGCCATATATTATTGCTGTACCTAACCATTTTTTGCCTCCTGCAAAATTATCTGTTCTAAAAGGCCAACACTTACAAAACAAGTTATACCTAAAATCAATACTCGTCATATACTCACAGTTATTTCATCCAATTTCTTTCGGGTTAAGCATGGGTCTGTTTTTCGGTGCATTGCGAAATGGCAGAGACATCCAAATAGGTATAATAATGCTCTACGATATAATGCACTACGAATAGAACGACTGTCTTCGCACGTCACCTGTTCCGTTCGCATGAATTTCCTTATATTATTTTTCGGAAACTTGGAGATTAATGCTCTCGACAAAAAGGAAAAACTTCAGTTTAAAAACGGCCTTATCCTGCTGCTTGACCAGCTGGTCGAGTTTGACAAAACACAATAGCCCCTTTGCCTACCTGATGCCCTTCCTGAGGGCCGTGTCGTGGACCGGGAGGTGCACCTCGCAAGCTATGACTTGACGGGTTCGTACGACAGAGCTTAGGTATCGTAACATATTGCAACTAATAGGTACCCTAAAAGAAACACACGAAATGTGAGTTCAAAGAGCCCTGCTGATCGGTTGCCGCGAACATCATGGAGGAGAGTGCTTGCCGGTTTATACACATATGGATTATGTACAATTCGGTTACTAAAGAGTGCTAAGTACGAAGAGAAAATTATTCATATATTGAAAAAAATTGATGTGGTTACATTTCATAATCTTGACTTTTTTCGCATATACATACCTCATATTTCCAATATATGCTTAAATGTTCTGTGCTTATATGTATGCACCGTCATGTATACCAAACAGATACATGCCTGCCTGCACTCCTGCACAGTGGTACAAAGGTGTAACACTGCAAAGTGTTCGGTTCCTTTAAGACCCATAATCGCCGATCCTGCAATGCATATTAGCAGTCTCCAATGGCTGCAAAAAACTAGCTACTCTGTCGAACAGCGATTGGGAAGCAGGCTTTGTACTACGTTTGCACGTGCATTAATCTTTCAAATCTTAGTTGTCCCTTTTGAAACAATTTTTATCAGCCAATCGTTTTCCTCGAATCCAGGCGCATAAATATACCTTCATTCTATTCCCGACGTTTATTAGACTTTTCTCGATTATTTCACATGTTTTTTCCTTCAGGTGTTTTTTGTAGGGTTTGGAACGAGGAAAAGTTAGGACGCTAGGTACGCAGTTGTTAACGGATCTGCATGAGATCGTATTTAAGGGTCCCCTGAAGACCCTTTGTTGCAACCTTGTTTTTCTCTGAATATTTTTCAAAACTGTTCAGCATGACCCATCAAGGATGTCAGACTGTTACCCAGGCTTCCTAAAAGTGATCCGGCGATTCTTTAGCACACACTATTCGCTCCTTGCATTTGAACGTGGAGTTTGACACTGTTCTGGCCTTCCACAGCAGCACATGCACACTCTCCGGTACGCACATCATTTTCGTTCTTTAGAGAAACAGGATGCAGCCGAAAATCACTCACTTCAAAACACTTAGAGACTATGTGACTACTGTGAGGTTTGATCTGTAAATGAAATAGGACAGGAATTTAATGTGCGAATAGTTAAATTGGATTTACTTTACAATTTCCTGCTATTCTTATAGTTATTCATGGTACACAACACAATTCTTCACTCTGTTTTACATAATTGCTTGTTTCGATTGATTCGTTGTAATCGATTAATTAGCTACGAGGTATGACCTCATAGTTGAGATTTATAATATCATAAAAACCTGCATGCAAGCAAGTCCCAGTGGCTTTCTCCAGCTAGTTCTCAGATCATTGATGTTAACTGCTTACCTAGCTTCTCTTTACAGTATCGAAATGAACTACCAGTCCACGTGGCAGCAGAGTACTAACTATTTACCGTTAACTAAATAAGTTACAAGCTGTTGTTTTCTACAAATATTCAATATTTCACGACTTTGTTTGTCGTCAAGTTACAGTCACTTCATGATACACCGCGAAGCGACTCATTGGAGCGTGACGTATACTTGTAACCGATGCATTTTTCCTCGAACAAATACAATGGTCCGCCTGATGTGTGCAGGCTGCCCAATCGTATGAAAACGTTTTCAGGAGCTTTATATTATGTCATACACCAAAAATTTTACTAACGACTGCCGAGACCGTCGAATCGGATGAATCTGATCGTTGCAGGAAAAGCTGCCGTTTATGGCAACAAATGTGAAATCTGTGCCTACGATGACTTTGTTGTGATGATGATGTTTGTCTGGTAGGCATTATAAAGTAGCAAATTCTTGGTACCCTCTATTGTATTATCGTTTATTAGGTTTCTATTTACCTATCTGGATCAAAGGTAGCACGCACTCTCGAAGGTTTGTTAATAAAGCTCTTATAGCTATCGTAGCATGCAAGCATGTACAGGTCTGGAATTAGTACCAAATACAGTTGTCAAACACCTAAAATATCTATTTCCTATTATTGTTAATTTCTTACTATGTTTACTTTTTTGTTATTAATTGACTCAATAGGAAAATTCGAGCGGACCACTGATGCTTCAAAGTGAACGTGGATCTTTCTTTAATTATAGTACGCTTTTATCAATAATACTCCATATATTACGTAATAGCAGTTTGCAATCGATCCTAAGACCCAAGATGCCGTAAAGTCTGCATACGAAAGTTTCAATTTAACACTTTTAGTTCACCCCAATGCAGCAAACACTGCACCGCTGGAGTGATAGCTAGAAAATACGTAGAGATTCACTTACTTAATAACAATTTACTAATTTTCATTAAATAGCGGCTTTTGCCGCATCGGCAATAACGTTGACCGGTGGGCTCAAAAATCAACCGCAAACAACAAAACCATTCACCGATTAAAATGCTGCCTGCAATGAGATGCATTTTCTTATGATTACTATGTCTAATAACATTTGAATACCATCACAAACAGTTGTCCTTGATACCCTTGCGTTGACCGTATCTCATTGCCAAGTAATAGTGCCTGGTAGTGAATACTTAACCATTTATATCGCAACTTAAAAGCGGGTGCAACAGTTACTTTTAGTCGCCGTTGCAATCCAAACATCGCCGTTATTTACTCGTGGTTTGCCTTCTCTTTTAGGTAGGAGTTGCATCGCATTCGGCCAACGATTTGGCTGAGGTTTGCCCACGTAACAACGTAGCATAACTCCTTGCCCGTAGCACTCTACTGGGGGACTTCATACTTGTGGAAGCGGCGGTGCACGATACGGTCCTAGAAACATACAAAAACCAGATATATGCACACGCTTAGATGCGGTCGGATTAAAATTTTTCACCCCTTGCGCCGTTCTCATTGATCTTATGAGGACGCGATTCGTGCTACTTTTACCCTATAGTCACAGTTGAATAATAATACTCAAATGTTTGGTCATTTACATAGACACCTGCAAGGACCCGAAAAGGAACGCTAAAGATTTTCACTCTTCCAATCGTTACATCGGTAACAAATGTAGCAGTAATTTTTTTAAAGTTTCCATTGGAATTTGCCTCAAGTTATACAGCATGATGGTAAGTGTGTATTAAATGCAGAGTTCTTCAGATCTGTAGGTAGACGCGAACTCTGACCCGTAATATCATTTCTATAGACCCGTGTAACTGCACATCATCTAATATTATCAACGGAAAAGCATAGTATGCCTGATGATAACAAATAATTTTGCCGAACAAATAATGCTATACAAAAAAGACGTTGGCTTAAAGAGCGTCCAGTGTACACATAATAATATATGCTACGATCGTATCTTTTTTACTTAAGCTCAAGCCCAAATATTCATTTGCGTCTCATATGCCATTAAAAAAAAAACTAATAGTCCCGGATTTAGGCCTACAGAAAACAATCTCAATTAAACATCCCTCTTCCAATTTTCGCTGATATAAAACGAGTCGCATTTTAATACTTTCTGTCATTTGAGCCATTTCTTCTTCGTGACGATCTTTTAGACTAATAAAAAACAAATGAAATTTCTTAAAAATCAAATGCAGCTGTCATCGAGGTCTGTAATGCCTGTCTGTCAATCCATTAAAAACGTTTAATACACTCTCATATGCTTACGTGGAAAACGGATTTTGACGGTGATGCTGCCATACTAATTTCGCATTTTTCCTACATCATTACGATAAATTGGTTTCGAAAAATCATTAGGAAACGATAGTACTCTAAAACGGTTTGGCCAAAGGAAATATAATAACCTCAATGATCTTCTTAAGAGATCTTTATATATATATATATATATATATATACATTAATAATACTTCTCCGTTGATGGTTATTTCGAAACATTGATGTGGTTTCTCTGGCATCTCTCTGGTATCGACTGGCGCAGGAACTCGTTGGATTTCTCTCGGTACAGATTAGATTTGCCTGATTGTTCTACTCTAAGCGGTGTCCTCGGCTCATGTGAGATAGGTTTATGACAAATGGACTTTTTTTTTGATCTTCTACTTTTGTGAAATTCCCCTTTTGTGAAATTGAAAGGCTAAAATGCTAGATAGTGCAGATATTGGGCTCTCTACATATATTCGAGCTACTAATGCGAGTCGAGGCATGAAAACCCAGTCACTGGCATAATCTTTGAACACAAATAGACTAATGGACAAAGATTAGTGAAGATAACACGTGTGCCGATCAAATTCTACAATATTGTTTCGAAAAAAATGCTATCTATTTGCACTCTATTATAACCTATCAAAATGGAATTCGTTTTAGTGTATATATTGTATATACTGTGTAGTGCCTAATCTGGACATCTGTGCAGTTACAAGCAATCTCGTCACGCTCCCAAGCAGTGATTCATAAACTTGAACCACACATCGAACAATAGACCTACGAGGCGGATATAATATAAAAGTAACTAGTCACTTATCAAGATTTCGCAAATGAGCCTAAGAATATGAAGGAGTGACAACAAAATCTAAAGTATTAGAGCTGTCGTTTTTTTTTTTGCATTCAATTGAGCCTGTGAGTGCATTTATCAAAAAGACACATACTATAAAATAATAAAAGTTTAAGTTGAACATGCGCCGAAAGTTCCATTATCCAGTAGCATATAGGCCCGTAAAGGCACTGCACGGAGGTGAGCTCGATGTGGTCATCTCTGTAAAGCCATCGGCTTGTCGGCCAATGGACGATATACAATTTTGACGGCGCAATGAACGGACTAGAAAATCTATTTGTAAGGGAACTCAGTCGTCTGATAATTGTGCATCATACAGTCCTCATCGTACTGAGATCCAATAGCAAGCTTTATGTTTACAATGACTAGATTGCGTAGCTACTAACAAGCAACAAACTGAATGAAGTAAAAAACGATAACCGCAGAGATGGTAGAACCCTCAGCAATAGAGAGAATGGCGTTCTGCTGATATTACCTTGAAACCCAAGGCTCTGCCATTGCCTACTCCGGCCACGAACCAAGAAGCCTTTCATGACGGCCAATGACCCTTCTATTATAGGAGTGATTCCGTATCGACGCCCCTGCAGGCCTCTTTATGTCGAAGACCTGCTAGTAACATCTACAGAACACTCGATAATGACGTTTGGAGCACTACTGCAATAGTGAAAATATCCACGGGTTGACATTGAGGCAATTTTAATCAAACCAACCGTAACGGAAGATGACCTCTCTATGCACAATCCGAAAACTAGAATTCAGGCTAGCACCTAAGCTGGCATGGCTCGAATTAAACTTCATCCAAGTTTAGTTATTAGCAAGATCTGATGTGAAAAACGTTCAAATAAGGATGTAAAAGCTTTATTATCGAGATTGAATGATAGCGTATCATGTATTGAATTATCAAACCGTAGGAAAGTTACCCGTGAGGATCGTATTAATCTAGTCGGTCAATGAGCCAGAATCGACGCATTCCGCCCGAGATAACAACGGTGATGTGATGTAAACACCATAAGCGAAAACACCGTTTTCGCAATTCAGATTTATTCAATAAGCTCTTTGTCCTAACAAAATCCTTTAATAGTGAAGGAAGAACAGATGCTCATGTTACACGTAATAACCGTTGACAACGTATGGCCAACAACGCTAATTTTAGGCCAATCAATTAATGATGGACGTCATGAAGCTGGCAAATAGGCGAAGCAAAACACCAGAGTTTCTGCCTGGTTCTTTTTTTAGAAATATCTAAGTACCATCTGAAAACCCAGATCGCGTTTCTGATCTCTGTGAACATTTGCTCAAAAGTGGCGCAATTACCAATCTGTTCCGAACAGCCATCGTCAGCCCGTACTAAACAAGAACGATCCGCTAAACAACGTTTAAAGACGTCTGGTTAGATGCAGTAAATAAGAATGTTTCTATGATGGGATATAAGCGAATACATGGGGTGGTGGAAACGGCAAAATCTACTACGAGATCTGGTTTTTACTTGAAACATGCAACGCTCGCTCCTAGATGGACCTACATTTCCTGTTGTTTTTCTGTTGTTTTCTGTTGTTAGCGACTGAATGACTGATAAATAGTGCATTAGAAAGCGGTAGAATAGTAAAAACCGTTTATGCCATAAGGGGTTTTTAGCGTGATTGTTACACTTCACGCTACGCCCTATCTCGCAATAGACATGCGCCCTCTGCACAACCCTCGCGGGATTGTCGCGTCTGTTTTTGCACACGGCTATGGGTTTGGGAAGCTTTGTCAGGCTTAGTACAACCTACGTAGCAATTACCGCTCGCAAACTATAATGAGGCAACACCTAATTTTAGTCGTACAATATTTAGGTCCATTTACGCACGTACATGGCTATCTTCAATGTGAAAAAAGCTGATTGTCGTATCTACTAGTAATTTCACTGTTTCAATAGGTAATACCCTACAGAGGTACACCGCAGCTGAAACTACATTTGCGATATTTACCATTGAGGCTATGGCTAGACGCACACCTTGATGGACAACGCGTTCACAGTTGCTGTCACGGTTGTCGTCACCATTTAGTTACTTTCACAGGAACTCATTAGAGTTAAGACCTACTTTCGATTTTCTATTGAACTGCCACGACGAGTAGGAAAAAGCCTGTGCATAGAATAGCGTTTTGTGTTTCAGATAACCACGTGCCGACAAGTAGCCAAAAGCGCCTCGCTTGTCGTCTATATGTAGAATAATTTATTAAAAATGTATATGAGACATTTAAGCAAACTTGTCAACTTGTATTGATACTGTTAATAAATCAAGACGTACAAGCATGCCCAGGAAAGATACACAAACGTGTGACAATCGTACAGAAATTTATTTCCTAGCCCATTCTACAATATACGAATCATTCGGATTATTACAAAAATCAAAAAGATTTAGCAATAAAATAGCTTATAATGAGTACTTGATGTCGACAAGCGACAAATATATTCTAACAAGTAGCAGAAATAACACGCTCATTGTATTTTAATATTAACATACATACGAAGCGTTCGTCCTTGATGATTAAGTTTCCGCTTCATCTACTGTCGAACAGATTTCGTTTCGAAACACCATACTACCATAAACGAGTTATTATTAGGTTTAGCTTCAGTAATGAGAATAGAAAAGACTTAATATAATATCGAAAATAGAGAAGAATAATTTAGAAAAACACTTCATTCGCAAACAGCTTTGCGCATCCATGGTGGATAGAGCGGCGATTATAAAACACTTAAGCCGATATAATTATTTACTAAACTGAAAGCTATCGGCTAACGTGAACATGAACCATCGGAGCCATTGATAAATAGATATTCTAATGAGGTAGAACCATTCCTGTACATGTAACATTAGTCGATTCACTGCTAATAGTTTCGGTTCATGTAGCTTCCGAGCGTAAACGCCCCGAACACAACATTGAGCCATAGTCACGAACGATTTGGCTGCGTGCCGAGTACCTAACGAGGCTTCGATGCCTCGCAACAGGTCGTTGGTTTTGAATAACAGGAGCATTTCTCGTGGTACTGCTCGAAGGACCGCGTTAATTAGATCAATATGTCGCGAAGCGAATTCCTTGATTTCGCGAAGTTCAGATGCATTGCCGCTCTGGCTAAGAGTGCCCTGTGCAACCGCTTTCCATCGACGACCCGCCACAATACTGGTAAATATCTTTGTCAGATTAGCGGGTACCTTCATTTCTATAGCGACACTCTCAATGCCTTTTACGTCTCCATCTATTATTGCTAACCACAGACGAGCGTATTGCTCACGAAACTTCGTCGACAGTCTGGAGTACAAACCATGGTCAAGTAAAATCAGGTCACCGTTCGGATTTACAAGAATATTGCCGGGATGCGGGTCGCAATGCACGAAGCCCTGCTCAAAAATCATTTCGGAGTACATTTGGCCCAGTCTTCCGACGACCTACACAGCAAATGCAGGTGAACATTAGTAAAAAGCAAATTCGATAAGTCAAAAGTTGTCCACTGCTCATTGATATTCTTGCATGTATATAATTAGCAGTTATGGCTTGAACGAATAAATAAGCTGCACAGCTGTAAGATGCCCAAACGTAAATACCTTGTATGGTGACAGGTTATGTTTCAACAAGTACGATTTGTCGTTAACGAAGCCACCCTGTTCGAAGTCCATTACAAGAACTCGCCTCGTTGTCCATTGTTCCCACACAAACGGTACTCGTAACCATGGCAGGTGATTTAAGCGTTTTTTGGCCTCTATGCAGTTGCCAGCCTCATGAGCGAAATCTAGTTCCTTTGGAAGATTAATCTTTGTTTCCTCAACGAGCCACAGCAACGAAAATTCAGGAAAGCCCCAGTCAACAAGTCTGCCCAAAAGTTCCATAACCTTCATATCTGTGAATGAGTTCTGGTAGACGTCATTGTGCTGCACTTTGACTGCCACAGTTTTCCCACCATTATTGTTTTCACTGGTCCTCAGCTTAGCCTTATGAACCTGCAATGTAGATGCGTCAATGTTATAATGTGTTTTCTGCCATGCGGTGCCTGAGAACGGAAGATAAATGGGTGACAGTAAATTATTGCATAAACAATTGTGATTCTGCGACGGCAGATAAAATTCGGATTCAAGGAAGAGTCTAGAAGGCACTTGTCTATCTCTGGTTAAGTTTTTGCCTGTTGAACCTGTTGCCGTCCTTTAAGGTGCTTATCTTACTTGGGCTAGTGACGCACAGCCTAGCGGTTCCTCATCAAATTCTTCAAAGATTTCCTCAAGCTCTTTGCCAAATTCTTCCTTGATCACCTTTCTCACTGAGCTTAGTGTAGACTGGGGAGCGTTTGCGTGAAGGACTTTTAGCGTGGTGGTATATTCCTCAGGAACGAGATACTCTAATGCCGCAATGTGCTGTCCTGAGGATGAAAATTCCAACTTTATCATAGTAGCTAGCAATGACCCACACTGTACAATATAAATTTTTGATATTCCCAAATGCATATTTTGGCCATTATTCGATGATGCAAACAATTGAATATGCACATGCATGTACAGTGAAACAAAAAAGATTGATAAATGACATTTATTGGTTTGTTATTATGGAGGATCGCCAAAAATGTGACAGAACTTGCCTAACCTCTCATGCCAGAAGACGTTGCGAAGCACCAATAAAGCATTAATAATAGATCAAGAAAGAAATATAGACGAGAACTGCAAGTTCAGCTTGAAAAAAACTGACCAACTTTGATATAGCAGCCGCCATTGGCACAACATAATTTCAACAATCTTTCCGCACAGCGCTGGTGAAAGCCATGGCGCGTATCAGCATATTGCTCATCAGTCTCCTTCAAATTTCTGCAAATGAACAGTCAAAGGAAGTAATCCTCAGTTATATTGAGTTCCCAACTGGTGCTGGTTGACGTTTCTGCACCAGGTTTTCAAAATAGCAACGATAGGAAGCGAAGTATAGGATAACAGTATTGGGCAACATATTCCGAGGCTTTGTGTTGGAAAGTCACCTTCACGTGCGAAACACCTTCGGCTGCGATACCAAGCAAGAAAACAGAGTCTAAAGCGTTCGAGCCAGGTCTTGTTAAACACAATGACAAAGTGTAGATTTTTAGTAAAAATTAGACAGCGAAATAAAGAGAATACCTACCGGAACGAGGCCTTATAGTCGATTACAATACTTCCGACGGCTATCGCCGACCGGGCAACTCGACATACACCAAGATGCTTGAGATCGTTGTCCCGATATGAGACATAGAAGCCTCCAACCATAGCCCCAGCCACACCGAGCCTCAAAACGCGCCCCAGCATTGCACGCAATGGCCACCTATAATGAAAAACTGGTCGAATAGAATCAGCATTCATTCTTTATATACATAAATTCATAGGAAAAACACTAGTGTAGGTTATAAATCAAACGACAAATTGGTCTTTCCGTTTAGAAACTTACTATTATTAGTGGAATGCCAGACGTTCCCAAGTTAGGCAGAAATTGTCCGCCTCTATCAAGACGAAATTATTTTCAAATTCCAGGTTGCTGATTTACTTTTTCCCGCAGACCAGAACACAATTTCTGTTAAAATAGAACTTCTATAAGAGTTACCATTAGTTAGTCGAAGGCTCCAAACGCCCGGCGCTGTTCGAAGACAAGCCTGCTGATACTTTAATGATGGTAATTATATATGTACATTTAACCAAAATTTCGCCTCACTGGTAGTACCAAATATGAATTTCAGGCGTCTACTTTAGGCGTAATATGACCATCCATACAACATCCTTATCAGGAGATTTAGATCACGATTTATACCGTACACAAATATTCGTTTGAAAAAAATCAAAGTTTCTCCATCCGACGCGCGGTAGCAATCAGAATTACTATGTAGACTGTAAGGAAAGTCTGACATTGAAACGGCATGTAGATTCACTACTTCAACATTGGCTCCAAAGGTTATAATAGACGCAACTTATGAATTCTGAAAATACACTTCCCATTTGCACCGATTACTGCTAGCAGCCATTAGCACACACCGCCCGGAAATCACAACTACTTAACAAACATGTAACCAAATTATAGAGAATGTGGTTTATCCGATCTTCAGTCTCCGCAAGATTAACGTTGCACAGTGACGGTAGCGAAAAAGCAAATTCACTTTGAAAACCAAGTACGGTGAGGATAGTACATTGGAAATAATGCTTAGCCAGCTTAGCCGTCGCAGTAACAAGTCTTTACCCGTGTTATATAAAATACGAGCCATCCTTTAACCATTGACGAATCGGTTTTACGAAACAGCCGATCATTGTCTCAGTGAAAACAGTCATGATAGTAGTATAAAGATGACACGAAACGCTTTAAAGCCAAGGTGTACGCAGATGTCTTTTTCTCGACCTTTAAATAGCACTTTTTTTCAAGGATTTGGTCTTTGAACAACACAATTTTAAAATGTCGCGTAAGTTTGTTGCGGCTTATTACCTAATTGGCTGGGGGATAGCCTGTTATGTAATTGGATAACTACTTTGGATAATTATGGCAATCGTTCGCTCCGATTCTAGTTACAAAATCGGCAGAAAACGACCTGCAAGTAGTTCTCGGTGGCTGCTTCACATCTCCTACGTAAAATTTATTGGCACTGGCTAGACATGTTGGAACAGATGCAAGAAGTATTACAAATTTTCATTACATATCACCATGAGCCCACAGGGCTCACCGTGTTCTAAGTCTAATACCAGTCAAGCCAAGCCAGTCTTATTGGTGGTGCTTCTAATAGATCTTTACTAATCAGACGACCAGATGGCACCAGTCACCTGTTCGTGGATAAGATCAGAAGAGCGCGGTGGACATGTGATTAGCTGAAAGGTGGCATCACAAATTCGACGAAAATACGTCCAGAGGTAGCTACGGATTCAGTAAACATAGGTGTTATACCGAACAAAAGAGCACCATGTGCTAGCTAGAATGGATATATTTGTATCTGAATGATTAGTAACAACGCTCTAAATCAGAGAGTATAACGACCTAGAAGAGAGCCCTCTGCTGGACATGACATTAGCGCAGCGATAATCCTCGCTGTTGTGTCGACTGTCATGCGACACCAGACGTCCAACAGTCGATGGCCCATAAAAAGACTACTAAAGTGCCTATAAAGGATATATCTCAATGTTGCCGATGTAAGCGGCTGCGTGACGGACCTAGCTATCGTTTGTTGTGAAAATAAAATCTTGTACGAACTACTGCTGTTGGGCCCGTGGGGCCTCGTCACGGTCTTACGATGATGTCAAATATAGGAAGTCCGACAACTTCGATGACGGTGAGATAAAACAATTACTATTTTTTTTTCTACGAGTGTCGCTTTTGTCACATTCACTACTAAGTGGAGAGTCCGAGTTTTTCGAAAGAATAGACCAATACGTTTGCTTAGTAATAACCTTCGATATTTACTTATCTATTGATTGATAATACCACCGAAGTACGTATCATACAAGGAAATAAAGTATATGATGGTACGTGGATGAGGCTTATTTATCGAAACGATTTATGAAAGTTATAGAGTTTACTTCATGAATAATTTCCGCACATTTTGGCAATGCTTCCATCAATTTCAAGGCATTCCTCGTTCTCAAGTCTTGACATAATCGGCAACCGTAGGGGTTGCTGGAAACAAGCTTCAACTTCGCTCCTTTCTCATTTTTATTCCTTTAACCATTCGGCATCATTAAATTTAATTTTACTTAGCAGTAACTATACATAACGTTCAGTAATTTTATTACTAAAACAATATTTACGGTAGTAATATAAGCCAAACCTAACGTCGGACTGTAATCAACGTTTAGCATACTAAATAATGGCCCACGGAACAATTAATCGTTCAGTAGCTATAATCCATATATTGGTCGCGCCTTTGTGATCCTAAATAGGCTACTAACGAGTCACAGAACAGAAAACATCTCTTGAAGCCAGTCGTAAATGTCAAAAACAACGTATGTCTAACAAATGGTTATCCCTGAGCATTTGATACTGAATACCTTAGCGGTAACGTTTTTTCGACAAGTTGCGTCTTATCGACAAGCGTAACTATTTCTGACTTGTCGTTTCAGGCGGGTTTAGTGGCAAATGATGCTAATGGAGACCTATTAGTTCCGCGACATCCGTTCGTCGTACTTGCACACGTCTTGCCCAAGGCTGCGTGCGTATTCTATTACTTGTTCTGCAATTTCTTCAACGATTCATTCGTCAGCAACTTCGTCCTGCTGCTGTTTCTGATCACATCGGATTTCTGGATCACGAAAAACATCTCTGGTAATTAGAATGAAGGGTCGCTATTTACGTCTTAGTTCTTGTATTTGTTAAGATTTCGGATTTGTATGATCAAAATCACAATTAGCCCTCAAAGTTGATTATGTACGGGGATATGAAGATCGAACACATCTAGTTGTCATACTGTACGAAGTACGAAATTAATTCTATTTCAGTACGAAAAAGAATCAAAGCATAACTTGATTAAAGCATGAAGCTAGCTCTAACTTGTCGCTTTCGTAATCTTATACGTTTCTTTTTAATAACTAACTAAGAAGTTCTTTTAGAGTCCTATTCATAATATCTATCAAATCATTCGTTGTTTTGGTCGTATCTAATGTTTGGAGCCGATATAAGTAAAATATTACTGGAAAAGTTAATGATTTCGAATGGTTATCTCTGATTAACATGCTATGTCTTTCCGTCTCCCTTTGTAGGTCGGCTCCTGGTTGGTTTACGGTGGTGGAGCATCGTTGATCCGGCCACAGGTGACTCGCAATGGGTGTTCGAGAAGGCGTCCGAGGCTCGCCCAATTGACAAGGGTGAGGCTGGCATATTCTGGACGGCTCTGTTAGCTATGCCTGCTGTGTGGGGTTTTTTCGCGTTCACCGCCTTTCTAACATTCAGCTTTCAATGGCTAACGGTCATTGTGGTGGCCATATCGTTGAACACATCGAACGCTTACGGATATATCCGATGTCGACTTGGCTCGGATAAAAGCATCAAAAGAGCAGCGTCTTCGTGGCTCGGAATGCAGATGTTCAAGAGCATGTTCCGCAGAAGTGCACAACCAGCTGCGGCTCCACCAGCATATAACACACCTTCAGGAGGCTCGAACATCTAAACCACTACAGTATTACTGTAATCCACTAACATTCGTAATAAGATGGGGCTAGATCATGGGGGAATTTGGGGAGCGGTGCGATTTCAGTAGTGATCCTATTTCAAAGGAATGGAACTGGTCATCTGCCAGCTGCTCTGCAACATTTACTAGTGGTCTGTAGATCTGCAAGATAAAGCGAGATAACAAGGAAAGGCGGTTGCAGAGACCTAACAATACCTCGTCCTAGTCAGGGGATCGATGATTTTACACACATTAGAAAATTGATGTGTTATGGCAGTAGATTCAGGGCAATACAAGCCCTGACCGCGTATTCGACTTTTAAAGCGAGATATAGTCTGTCTAATAATAACGATGCACCATAACCAGTCTGAATGGCAAAAGAAGATGTGTTAAAACATGCTTCCTGTATACGAAAGTGACTTAAACATGAAACTTGTAACCGTGTACATCATCCAAGATTATGTAGGCTATAAACATCGTCGGCTAGTCTTGGCCAATTTTTCTATTATTTAAGAGTGTCAGGTACCGACTGGGGAAGACTGAGTAAAAATCATTAACAGTATATATGACAATCTGTACGTGTATAAAATCTGAACCATCTGAAAACTGTTTGCATATATATATATATCTGTATTTAGTCGTTGTGTGGTGCGACGAACGTAGGAATGTGCGGGGATCGTCTTGCCAGTCGTCATGATCAATAGCGCGTGACGACGACGCAGGTCGCGGCCGGCAATGATAAAATATCCAGTTATTCGGTTACCTATACCGATTTTTCAGTCCCAAACAAACTCGCGCGGGTAGCAAAGCATAATCAAACAACAATGATACAGTCGAGTGGTCGAAGTCTGCTAAATAAAATCAATTGTGAATAGCGCAACGTGTTTTATTCTGTAGAAGTGATGAAACTACTTGTAGATCATCTCGGTATAGACTAACCACGTTTGCTTCGAACAATTACGTGTATGTTAGCGGGCTTACGTCTTGAAACTGAGCTAAATTTCATCGACTTGTCAGCTCCATACTGACGCAAGCTCATGGATTGCGCACTCATGCTACCTGCTTAGGTTTGATTATTAATTAAAACCTTTTCCCATTTTGTTATCGAGTGGCTTGGATAAGCCCAGTTGAGAGAACCGGAGACCTTTCTCAATGTAAAAATATTTATACATCTATACATACAGAAAAATGCAGCCATGTTTCGCTCAGTAAGGAGTTGAGATAATAATATGTGCAACAATACGTTTTAAGACGAGAGTAGTATCTTTTGTGTGAATTGTTGTCTGTCACTTTTCAGCTTACAGAATAGAATGGCTTTCCGTTTAATTACACACATAAGGATTTCAGTTTAATGCGGTTGGTCCGTACGTTTCTTCAAGGACAGAATATCATCGAGGGGAATAGCTGCGACTGCTCAAGGTAACATTTGCATAATTGAGCAACAGAACGTGTCGAATTTTGAAACATTTTTGAAAACTGAAAGATACAAGTGAGATAGCTTAACTTGCGTGGCCATCTAAAACATCGGCCACTTTTTGTAGATTCCAAAGGGTGAAGTGATGTCGGAGAGTTTGATGATGAAGGCGAAAGCAAATTCTCGTCGGAGTCATTGTTCAGACACATTGAATTACATGGCTCGTCTCTGTGAGCGACGCCAGATTGCCCCGACAAGACATAATGCTTTTCTCCATTGTCACACTACTTGTGAGCCAACACACTTATGAAAGGCCCGGAACTTAAACTGCAATGCAGTGCAAACGTTGCAATTTCTCTACTCGGCGCGTTCGAAAAGCGGCTAAAAAACTCCTGGTAAATAGAAGAATTACTTTAGAAACTCAAGTGATATGTTCGGAACGTATTTGATTTAAAAGTATTCGATAAAACATAATTGGATTGTTAGAATATCTACTCGGGGGGCTTAAACGTTCTGCTCTTGAGAGCACCTCATTGCTGTTCTCGTAGCACACTAGAAGAGACCCCAGGCCGCATTCGAAACGCGATCGTAATCGTACACACAGCACAATCAGCAAATTAGCTTCGTTGATGCGACTGCATGATATGTAAGGATGCAAGATTTTGGATAGTCGTAGACGTTTTGGGATATATATAGTAAAGTTCAGGATTTGACAATCAAAATCCCGGTGTCTGGTGTGGACACGAATCGTCATTCAGAAATAAAACCGCAAGCGTTCCCTCGTTAGACAATGGTGGTGGATGGATGCAAACACATAGATGCATAAAGGAGGTAAACGGTTAACAATAGCATAAGCCAATAACATACAATAATCAAAATAAAAGACGTCGAAGTATCAGCCGAAGTTTGGTATCATATGCCATATAACAACATTAAGAAGATGCATAATATATTTGTATAGATTGCATATTCTAGAATATTGCGTGTGTCAGTTCTATCTGGTTTCAGCCCAAATCTATAGCTTCCCTTGATTAATTCCAGCCGTTTCGTTGAATTGTTTTCTCTAGCCGTAAAGCTTGACGAGGGAAGGCTTTTCTCGGTGCGTGGGTTTAATGTGGGTTACATTTATAAATCAGAGAAAAATTATTTTAAGTATTATAAGCAACTCTAAGTTAATCCTTACCTTTTTTCAATGGGGGGCAAACATTGGACTGTTCTAAAAAAACGTACCACGGCGTCGCCTTTAAGGGAACGTTTAGTACAGGAGTGTCTCTTTGTTCCAGCTATAATGATAGATTATTATTATTATTGTTATCGTCACCGCGTTCATAGCGCCTTGCTTTAATTGAATTAATTAGATACGATTTATCACAATAAAGTTCCCATTTTTTCATAAAACCATTTCTCGGCCAATAATATGTACGTTTAGCCGGCATCGTACTTTATAAGTGTGTTTTTAACCTGTACTTATCCTGTTGATCAGTTAAAATTGTAAAATTGGCAAATTTAATGTCCGGATCACCGTGTTGTTCATTTGTACTCTTTCAAATATGGCTTCAAGGAGAGACGAATTCACCCGGATGTCTAGCAGTAAACGTACAAGACGCGCAAAGGCATTTCATTTTTATTTATTCGCAAGAAAAAAGCCAAGCGAGACAAGAACCTTTGCTAAGAAAACTTGTACTCGCATTTCCTTAAACCACTTCAGTGTCCAGCTTCGCGTCGGTCTCTAGTCCGTGTTGTATGTTTATCTGTTTAATATCTATCGCTATACGATCATTCGAAGTTTAATGGGTTCCTGTAGTGTCAGAACGCAGCGCCACTGGCGGACGCCTCGGAAGGTAACCTGAGAGCCTTTTCCGTGGGTGAGAGCGCTTTCCCAGTGCGTGTTCGGCGAGTAAATTAGACAATGAACGATGAAGCTCGCTCTTCATCTTCATTCGACCTGTGCATCTCAAATCGGAGCATACGCCAGGTAGGCACTTAGGTCGTACTAGACACGGATACAGCTAGTTATTGTGTGTCAGTGGCGACTTTTTTACACGAAGGCAAGGCGTGCGAAAAAGGACACAGCTTCTCCTTAGCTTGTCTAGATAACATTGCCACATAACTTCGAAATATGTCCACTAACGTCGCATCAATTTAGTGACAGAAGCATGCTTGAACTTCTGCGTGTGCTTAAGCTAAAGTGAAACTGTGGTAATACCGCCATTTTGCGGAAACTTAACGTCTTTGGCGATGACAGCATGCAGCAACAAGTCGGGATCGATTCATAGTTGTTTTGTTGTACTCCAGTGTATAATAACAAGCATACGTGGCCTAGCTATTTTTGACGATCATAACTGTTGCATTATTAAGTGGTAACGAGTATTCAAGCAGAATTCGGTGTCGGCTTCATCGATCACTTTCTATCAGAAATTCCTTCTTCTATCAGAAATTGCGAAAATGTTATTTTTCTAAAAACTGGTGGTGGCTTGCGAATTACGTTAAGAGAAACGGACAGGGTTTCGCTTTCGTCACTTTGGCAGCGGCCATCACTACGCCAGAACGTAGTCATTCTTTTAAATTCAGCGTAAAGCGCAACCCTGAGAGTTAGCTGAGTTGTGAGATTTTAGATCGAGAACGTTTTCACTAAAAATCATCTTCAACTGATATTCAACTCGAACCTTGAAGAAAAACTTGTTTTGTCTCGATATAAACGAAATGCCCCTTCTTGTATTGTTCCTGCTTTGCTGCTGTATGATGTGTATTGAATGTGTGAACGAAGTTCATGAGCGTTGTCACCCTGATAGTAATGCCCCACCCACTGCCAGCTAATGATTCTCAGCAGGAATGATTCGCAGCGCGCAACAATGATCGATCGCGTTAGAAAATTTCAACGCCCTAACTTCAGTCAGCGCGTCGGGCCAGGTCGTGGAACCTCAGCAGATCAACTAGCAGCAGCGGCAGACCTGTCTATGTGGACGATTCGTGCGTTTGCAGACATGTACTGCTTGAGTACCCTTAAGGATGTCGTCTTAATGTTCCTAAATGAAAACACAGATGGAATTCGCTGTGTATATAGCACAGTAAAACACATTCCAAAAATATGTCAGACAAACAGATTGACAGACACCTATAGGTACATGCAACTAAACCTATGATTGTCAGATTTTTCCCAAAATATTATGTTTTTGCTATAAATATTGAGTTGTTGAAAACGTATTGACAGTCTTTTTAGTTAGATGACTTTAAGAATGCATAGCCTAGGTAACATGAGTTACGATATTGGTGCCATTTCAAAACTAAGATTTGGCAATAACAGACGTGTTAAAATTGCTGAAACGCGTTTATTCAGACTTAAGATAGAACGCCTTAAGGATGAGTGAATGTTTTTTAAAAAATTCATTCTATTTTTAACCACGATAAAAAAGGTGCAAATGTCCATGTCCATAAGAAAATTGAAGATGGAAGGTTTTCGACCTTTTCACCTAATTTTGCAGCAATAACGTTGACGCAAATCGGCCGCGTTGTAACGCTGTAGTTGATCTATTTATCTTTTTATTGTACAACCCAATATCCGGCTTTATTAATCCATATTCAAATCAGAATTTGGTCAACTACTTTCTTCGGGTAATGTACCTTTATTGGAAAAAGATCTATATTGCTTTTTCAACACGTTCGTTATCTTAGTACTGGAGAAGAGCGGTCCATAATAACATATATAGAACATGTATCATAGAATGTGATCAGCTCGACTTATATATTTAAAAAAAGATTAACCTATGCAGAACGTGTTTGTTTTTTAGATAAACAAAAAACATGAATTATTCGTCATTAAGTAAACTATGAGAATCTAAATAAGCGTATTACTGCTGTGTCTATATATGAGAACTTCACGCTTCTACAGAATATTCCAATATGTAAAGGTGAAGTTGCAGGGCCCAGCCGATAGTACCTACTATTCATTGTTGTACATCGAAACCATATGCTCATCGATTCTAGACCCTCACAATGACCTATGGCCAAACAAATATCGTCTCTGAGACACTAACTTTTGCCAATGAACTATCTTTTTGGATCGTATGTTACTTTCAAAATATCATTTGTTGTAACGAAATGATATTAACAAAGTAATAAATAAAAAAAACTGCTCTTAGACTATATTAATCAGTGTACAGGTGGAACTAATTAATTAGATTCAAGGGTACTTGCTATCTGTGAAGGTATCATATCCATAAATACATATCCATTGCTTGTATACTTATGTATCTTATGTATGCTTGTATCTTATATAAGGTAAGTAACCCTAGTTTACATGGGTTACATGGGAAACATGAACCAGCATCTTCAACGCTGTCAGATGCACGTCTAAGTCCACGGCTGCAAATTTGAATGCTTGGTACGAATAGCAGAAATACGATAAATTCGTCTATAATAAAAAGTACTTCTGAGGGACTGAGCGTTTTCCTATAGACGCAACCTCAATTACTTTTCACACAAATGCAAGAGGTAAATTACAATATAAGGTAAAGGTTGACGGAGATGATCATCGGTAATTTTAGGTCTTTTATTTCACTTCAACTTGAACTGAAACACATATACAACATATATATATATATATATATATATATATATATATATATATATATAAGCAAACAAGTCTTTATTGGGTGAAAACTAAAGGAAATTGTTGAGAAAAATAACAAGTCATGGTTTTACGGTTGAGTAAGGTGGCAGACGATGCTTTGCAGGTTCAGAAGACACATCAAAAAGATACTCTTATGCAGGCAGTTAGCACGTCTGGAAAGGTAAATGATCTAACTACGGTGACTTTTTCTTGTTGACTTGGTGGCACTAGCCGTTTCTTCCTACCATCTTGTAGTTCGGTTAAATGAAGATCCGGTTCAGTGTTAAACTTGAGAGAAAGGTTGATAAGTAGTGCGTAATGGTCGACGGGAATGAGCCAAAAGGGCAAGGTTGGTGCTCATAACTGACCTACATAAGGCAAAGATTGCGCTCTCGCGGGTCTCGCTGAGCGTAAACCGTACTACTTGAACCTTTTATAGAAACAGGTTCTATTGACTTAGTGAATATGACTTTTTAGTTTGTACATACTATTGAGAAGGTTCAGTGTATTATATTTCTAACATTACTTTAATTTTCTAACATTTAGAATATAGAAAAAAACACAAAGGGCGTAATAACATCAAAAAAAAAATGGTTTGGTAGCAGGAGTGACCGTCGAGTACTATACTACAGTAAAGGAACGACACACACTGCACTTTCTAAATTGAACCTCTTTATGGAAGACATTTCCAGAAGTTAATTATAGCTGCCGTGTTTCATTAAACAATCCAAAACAAGCATGCGCTCCCACGTCTTCCAGTTACTTCAATCTGGATCAGTCGAAGTTGGGCCAACCTCTAACTCGGCCCGATTTTATGATGGCTGCGTGTCCCTGAAAATAAGCACAGCACTTGATCCAGTATAGAAAAGTCAAAAAAGAAAAAATAAGTATGTTAATCATATAAGCCTAAACGCTGTGGCTGCGGCGAGGTATGGCTAAGGAGGAGAATTCAGTCTGCTAAGAATGATATTTTGCAGCTAGGTCGTACATTGGACTGCTGCTTTTTCCGTCCTTGATACCCGTTATGCGACAACGAGCAAGCCATTCTGCAGAGAATGCACATGTTTCATAGACGCGCAACTATACTTGAGTGGGCAGCAGAAACAGTTGCTATTGTTGTAGTGGACGCGACAGGTTTTATCCAGTAAGGCTATTTGTGTTTGTTTCTAATTGTCGTACTTGTTTACGTGAAGTGGAGAAAGGAAAATTCCTCCACCCTCCTCCCCCGCAGTGCTGTCTCAACAAAGCAACAATTGTCTTGTATTCAGCGACACAGCGTATTACAGCAAATATAACATTGTAGCATCATCGACGAGAATTCTGACGAATCAAATAGAAAATGTCACGAAGTCAAGAAAATGCTTTTTTCGCTTTCTTATTTAAAAAAATATTGGCTAACCCCTAGCATAGACTTGTCGAGTTTTTCATTTCCTGTCAACGAAAAAAAAAGTACTTCATTTCAAACATCAAATTTGCTAAATTATCAGGCGAAGCTCGCCGTGTATTCTTATCGCACGATGCATGCAGGCAGAGAACTTCGTTACTTAATTAATAATCACCTGCACGACGTTTTTGCACGTCTAAACCTGAATTGACGTGTCCACATTCATCCGTTCGATCTCTGCAGCACTATGTTGCGCGGCTTTACAATGAGATGGGCGTATATACATATGTGTATATCATAAATGTGGCCTGTGCCTGAATTACTGATATGTTTTATCTGCAAGGGTATGTAGTAAAACTGGGATGGCGTGTGTTAGCAGCAGCAGATTCCTTTGCCTGCCTTTTTTAAACTCAGCTTTAATTGCACACATTGCAACAACAGTATTGCAAGACTAACACGCAATTCGGGACAACAGAATAGAGCATCCACAGCCAGGCTAGCATAGCCGGTCTGCCCATTGAATCCGAAAGGGTCTCTGCTCTATCCCCGACAGTTGCGTGCATTCCCAGCGCCACTCACCGTACGACCGCTACTTCCTGCAACCTCTTTCTGTCGGAACGACTGCATCGGTTCCCGTTCCAATGCATATATTCCCTCCACGCACGACTGCCGACTTGCTCCCTGGAAGCTACCATAGATGTTTCTTCCCTGTTATCGTTTCCTGAGAATTGGAAGGTCCATCCAATCCAGTAATAACGCTTGATGCCTGGAGCCGCCACAGTTGAATAATGGAAGGTTATGCAGAGGTAAAGTATAATTGATCTTGGCATCTGTGTTCACCTCTACGTTATTCTAACCAGGGAATGTCATCCATCATAAGCGAAACATGCGGATGGAGGTTTAAACGGTTATCAATTTAGAGTTTTCGATTTAGACACCCGGAAGCATCAAAACCGCTCTATTGGGGTCATAAAGGCAAATATGGACAACCAAAGCAGAAGAAAGAGACAGAAAAGGTCTATTGGTATTGGTAAGGAAATGAAGCTTACGTGAAGGTAGGTTCAAGTGTGTGGCCATGATGTGTATATTGCTTTGTTTGATCCCGAACAGTTAGCTTCAAATAATTTACTCTGGGTTACAATTTTTGTGATAGATGGCCCAGTAGTAAGTTAGAGTAATTTATTCGGTTCAGGTAACCCGAAAAAAGGCTTGATTGACACCTTATGAACACGCCATAACAAATATGAGCTTTTACCTTTGTTTCTTTTATATTTTCTTGAATTGTGTTAATCTTTAACGGTACGCGACGTGTACGAGAACATTCACCTATAGAATGCCACTTCAGCAGGCCCATTTGAATCCCATATATATACACTTAGTTTTTTTTTTAATTTAAATTGATGCCGAATGTTAAATTGTTGTCATCTCACATCGGTGTTTTTCTTTCACGATAGATGCTTGGTTCTGGATGGCATGAATAGTAATATTTAAAGCACTCTATAACACTGGGTAGTGCGCACAGCTTGACTGACTTCTAGCGATTCAAACGGAATCTCGTTTTTTTTTTAAATTATTAACTGAGCCCTTCTCTTGCAAGTAGAATGAATATTTGATTTGGCTGTTAAAATCATCGAACAGACTTCCTGGGCGCTGCTTAGGAAATCGCACCTGAATTGCGGGTTGCTTTGTCTTTCATCCTGTTGATGATCGTTAAGCAAATACACAATAATAAAATGATCGAAGTACTGAAAATGGACATGCATTTATGAGCTCACTCTAGGCCCAGGAATTTTTCAGATTTACATACTGCCCATGAACTTTAACTGATATTCTACAGCGACAAGCCATAGACAATACCCTGTCGAAAATCAAACCGGAACTCTTCCTACAATTATTTCATTATTTAATTTATTAGTTTATCGTATATTTGAATGGACTCACAGAAACTTCAAAATACTCATAAACTTCATGTATATCAGATGAGTGAGCTAAGTCTCACTTCGATGCCTTTTTTTGATATCCTTGAACTGTATAGCTATGTAAAACTGTATTTGCACCCATTTCTCCGTTGAAATAAAAGCATCATCTACTCTAATATGAAAAGGTAATTGAATGATGGATAGACATATTACAAAATTTAAATCGGAATGAAAATGCTTGCAGTTATTAATCAGTGTTATCATACGCGAACAGATATAATTCGACAAGCAAACTTACGTAAATCCAAACAATTGTGTTAAAATGAAAAAAGTGAATTTAAGTGCACTTTTGAAAGGAAAGACCTACTTTAGCGCCTATGTTTTGGGTACCTTCGAAGTTGAAATAAACATACAAGTCACTAATGATTGGCATACCGTTGTACCTACTCACAAGCTCTGGCTGGCTAATAAATAATATAATGGCAGCAATAATTAGCTTAAAATAATTTGTATCAGGCCTTACGAAATCTAGCAGTTCCTAAGGTCACTTATGCAACACTTCTAACATCTTTGGAATTGCCACACCTATTATTATTACTTTCAAATATCGTTTAAGTTTACAATACATAGAAGATCCTGTATCTATTTTACGTGGGTCGTGTACAGTAAATCCTACATTTGCATCCTATGGTACCTGCTTTTCGATACGATCAAAAAATTCTATTTTCACTTTCGGAAAAATTCTAACATTCTTCTGTAATTTTCTGCCACCAAAAAGTTCAGCGTCTGCAAGTGCTTCTGTACTTCATCCGTGTCTGCAGGCGTTCATTCAGCAGAACGCCCGCCTACATCCCCACTAAAGCAAGCGCCGTTCAAATGCGTTCATCTGATGCGTGCTATTTTCCACATTTTGGTAGAAAATTAGCAAGAACTGAATTCATTTTGCTTGACAGACTATTAATTACAATTTGTATCCCTTTCTGCTTTCTGTTGGAGTGGAAACGAGTCTCTCTACGAAATTTACGAACGTGGCTGGGAAACGCAATGGCGGCGTCCTTAACTGCTTCGTTCTCTCCAGTTACTCTGCTTGTGGCGGCTATCTGTGTTACTTCCAACCGTAAGAGCGCCTTTCTTGCTGTGTCCTTACACGTTTGAGGCCCTGCTGAGCGCTTTTGTTCGCTATTGGCCGTTGCCATCGCTTTCCGATGGTCGTGTTAGCCCGTGTCGATTTGTCCATCCTGGTTGATGTGTGGTTTTTGCAGTTGTTGGTTTTCACTGCAGGCTGTGCTGTTGATGTAAAACGTGAAGTGGTACGATTACAGTACAGTGGACGTTCGTTTTAGCGCAAAATTTGGTCATTTTTCTGAAAAAAGAAGTCGAAGTTGAGTGTGATGATGAATTCGTTATAACCAAGTTTTGGCAAGATGTTCCGAACTCCGCAAGCTAGTAGTAACAGAAGGGGTTAAGTGGTTAGGCGCGCCCGAGCGGGTGTCTCCACGTCTTCTGCTTAGGTAAGTTGGTGTGCAAAAATGAACTTATTATTGAGCATAACTAGCTAACACACATTCAGAACTTCTTTTATTATATGTTGGATTAGAACTGTTTTTTTGTTTTGTGGAGAAAACGACCCGGAAGTAGAAACATGTCCGCCATAATGTATTTTTATAGTTAGGGGTATAATGTGTAATTTTCAAGACGTGCTAACGACGTTTACTCTGACAACAATTTTTGAATCTATCTAAAATCCGGAACTTTATTCGAATAAATTTAACACTTGAAGAAGAGCGGCACCATATACTTTGTTAGTTGATTTTCTATTAACTACTGCCGTCCTTTTTGGCATAATCGCCTTCAAGTGCGTTTCTTAGCATTCAAAGAACAATGCACACAACATTTACAAAGTGTCTGCCCCTAAATTCGAACGCGCAATATTGTTATATAATCGTATCGACTATTAACACCACTTAACGTAAACTTGTTAATACCAGTGAGCTGTGGAACCGAATGTAATTCTGTCGTGTGCTCTATTATCAAATGTGTACATAAGTGTTTTGATGTAACCATCTCTAGTCAGGTAGCAGGTTGCCGATCCGAATGCGCAAGTCGAGTGTAGAACGTCTATTGTAAACGCAAGCTAAGCAGGCCCATCTAAGTGAAACAGTAGATCAGAGAACTCGGCGTAAAGGATCGGCTTTTCAATCCTAGGCGTGAGTTGCAACAAAACTGGAATTTGGAATGATATTATTTTTTATTTTATGAAGAGTGTATAACGTGCTATTAGGGGGTAGTTAAATACCGAACTGTGGAATAGAGGCGGAACTGAATTAATTCCCCTATTCAATAGAATACGAGAGCCTGTACAATTTCGTAATATTCTTGTATTGTTGTTCTGTGAATAAAAATGCGAATTCATTGTCATTACCGAGTTTCGGTTCAATAATACAAACTGGCAAAACAATAGGAAAAGCTTAGAAAACACATCTGATTTCGTCGACATGGTCAGTCCGTTGGATTACACAGTAGAGTCATTCTTGCGGCCCTTCCGTTTGTGTTCATAGGAACTGTGCAACGAGGTCGGCTATAGTGAGTGTTTATTATGGCGCATTGTGTGGCGCGGAATCAGTTCAGCTCAGCAGAGGCTATCGGCATGGCCGTTGTTTTGTAGCGGATTGCCGGAGAAGAGATCTACCAAGGTCCGTATAATTCTTAGTCTTCGTGCTGTTCTTGGATACATGCACAAAGTTGTTTGTTTGCATTTGTCCGGCGAGCATTTACGCTTTTTAGTCAAAAAGTTAACCTTAAAAGTGTTTACAGATATGGTAGTCTATTTACTACTGGTCCTATAACGCTTCCGTTAGTAATTAGATTAGCCAGCATATAGCCATGTGTTGTCCCCACTGTTAGTTTTGAAGAAGAGCTCTATTTTCTATGTTTCTATTATTATCAACTATTTAACAATGTTAATATTTGATTTCTCAGATGAGCGAGCTGGGAGCTCACAAGGTACAGGCAGCATCACTGGCGCAGCAACAGCCTATAATGGTAAGCTCTGCTGGAGGACAGCAGACATTCTTCATCAGTGGACCCAATGGCAAGGTGCAGGTACGTACCCTGAGTTAACTAGGGGCACAACGAAAGCACGCTTTCTATTATAGTCTGCGTTTTAGTCCGCACTATATATTAAAATGTGAAGAACGTCATGAGCTTTTTGTTTATTAACTCGATTGTTTTGTTTGCTAGTGGTCAAGTATCACGTGCCGCTAAAAATTTTTTTCGTACGTTAAAAAGTCCTAAGAATGTACTCAAAAATGAACGTGGAGCAAAAAAGAATTTGCCATACCCTTGTCTTGTTGATGTCGAAACCCTGCAAAGGTAGCCGAGAAATTTTTATATGCATACGATGATGACTCTATAGCTGAAAGATGAAGGCTCATGCAATACTTATGCTTCCATGAAGGAGGTTTTTTTGCACCCAGGAAAACCATTTTTGGACCCTGAACTCAAGGGTAATATCTTTTTATCCGGAACGGTGAGAATAGCCTTTTAGAGCAGATAAATGGCTCTTCAACAATGTACAACGACAACACAAAGAGTTGGAAAGGGAATCAATAAACAAAGGCGACTCTTACTTTGTTAACAACCTGATAAATACATATCACAGATTTCTATGTTGTCGGCTTTGAATTATAGCTACTTTTGTAATTAACCATTATTATTTATTCTTCTGACGATGTTATTTTAATATTTTAACGCCCGTTTGCCTTGTGTCTACCGTTTGTGCGGTGCTGCAGATGATTCCAGTGAGTTCTGCAGGTGGGCAGCAAGTTACAACAACTCAAGCTCAACAACCCACGCTTATCATCGCCAATGGCGGAACAGCTGCTCCGGACGGAACAGTTGGGGCACCGGCAGGTGTAACCACCGTTGGAGGAGTCGGAGGAACCGTTCTGTATCAACCGGTGACCAGTGGACTTGATGGAACAGGTGGCGCTGGAGGCATTAATATGCTTCCTGCCTCACTCATCCAACAAATCCTTCAACAGAGTGGACAAGCCCACACAGGCGCCGCTCAAGCTGGGCAACCAATTGCCTTGCAGACTTCACCATCAGGTATATAACGTTTGGCTATTCATTCCCAAAGTATAATCGTATTGACGGATAGCTCTATATTCGATTCTTATGACAAAAGAAACAAAAGGTTACAATTTCATGTTACTACAACGAAATTGTAACTTTTTGATTCTTGACTGAACTGAACTCTTGAGTAGCTATTATAAAAATAATTTGTCCATTAAAAGTATTTAAAAAGATTAAATAGCTTAATTTTATTGCAAATTAAAAAAATATCAAATAAATGATTGATGAATAAAAGATAACTAAACTTTTTTTGCTTTCAAAATAAATACCTTTTGAAGTTCAGTAATCTAAAATTAAAAGTCACAGATACCTTACCGTGTACCAGATTAGCTTTTCCTACTCTAATGGCTCTCATGAACGCCAGGTGTTAGTTCAATGGGCTCATGTATTTTTGGAACCAGCAACACTTTTTGCTAATATGTACCCTTTCTTTAAACATTTAATTGTTGTCCACAAATTGTTTTCTGTTTTTGCTATAAAAAAAGGAAACATCGTTATGGTTCTTCCGCAAGGCGCTCCTGCTGGCGCACCTTTACAGCTAGGTGGAGCCATAAACCCTGGCACACTGCAACTCCAAACAGCGCAGGTACCAGGTGTTACGAATGCAGCACCTGCAACGCAACCCTCATGTCAACCTGCCCAACAGGCACCTCCAACGCCTACAGTAGCTGCCACAGTTGTGACGGCAGCTGCCGAAGGTGAAGAAGAACCTTTGTACGTGAATGCTAAACAGTACCATCGTATTTTGAAGAGGCGACAGGATCGGGCCAAACTTGAAGCTCAAGGAAAGATACCGAAGGAGCGAAGACGGTATTTGCACGAATCGAGACACCGTCACGCCATGAACCGGGTCCGCGGTGAGGGGGGACGTTTCCACAGCGGCCAGGGTGGGAAAGACGAAGGCACTGACGGGGGTGAAGGAGGTGAAGCTGAAACCGAGGCGGGGAATGCTCAATGCCTCAATCAGTACTTTTCCCAACTGCCAAACAAGTATATTGGAGAAATGACAAGCGCTGAGCAGAACTAATTAGCTTGTTCGGTGGTTCAATTTTACCCTATATGTATCACGATAGGTGGCTGGCAGTAGTTAAGCGCAAATGTAGACAGAACCAGATAGAAACTAGAAATTAGTTCAATACAAATTATAATTACGTAATTTTGGCGAAAACGAAACAACCCGAATGGAAGTCAATTATTCTGTACATCAGATAAATCAAGAGTGATTGAGCAATGCTCCTTCGCGGATGCTCGAAGACGAGTTGTATATATTTATGTATATGACAATATAGACATTTATATGTAGACTGAGGTCGTGTGAAATGTATATATGAATAGTGAAACTTGGAGCGGATTCCTTAAATGCGTGCGATAAAATTCACAAAACTATTACAAAGGACCAAGCAGAAATACCGTTACTCGTTCAGACAGGCGGAATAACACCGGTTTGATACTTATGTTACCGTTGCAAACTGGATTGTTCTGCCTACCGGTAAATATAAAAAAATTTAGCTAAATAGATTATATAATATGTGCACTTATTGCTTTCTCTAAGTATTTCTTCATTAAAAGATAAGAGCAAGACGGGGGGAGGAGGAGTTGGTGCAGAAAACTATGTAACCCCCTATGCCGCCCTTACGTTAGCTAAGGAGCCATTAATGTGTGCCATTTTGTGTTTCTGGTGTGAGCTTTTGGCTACTGGTATCAGACAGTCGTTTGACAGTAGCTTAATAAATATTTATGTAAGTAACATACATCCAGATACTGATACTAAATATGGAAAGTTGGGTTAGGTTTCAATATATATGAAATAGGCCTATTTTTTGTGGGATTGTATTGTGAATTTTTTACAAGGCTCTACCGCCATGTATAACAAGCATTGGATATGCTTCAAAAATCTGTTAACGACAGATAACAACAAGGTGATACGTAGAAATGGGTCTTGTTGATTGTGTTAGAGTATTTAATAATTTAGTACTGCAGCTGAAATTAATATTTACGACAGCACCCTAACTTTATTTAGGAAAGATTAATATTGTCCGGACCTCAGAAAGCGTACTTAGAAAGATGAATATAACGAATTTACACGGAGTGTTTTCCCTACTCAGTTCGCGGCACCTAAAAGCCTGTTTTATTGTTTTGATATTACATAACGTATGCCAGTACGAAGTAGATGACGGATTTCTGCAAAGAACTTGATCAAACACCGGTGTAGCGAGTACAAAATCTAACGAAAGCACTCGCAATCATCAGAAACAGAAAATGCAGTTGTGGAGAAGCTAATTTAAGAAGAAAAAGCTACATGGTTTGTCCATGATCGATATATATCAAAGATAGGTTAGCCAAGTATGGACTGTATAACTTGTACACACGTAATAGAACAAAATAAAATTAAACAAGACTATAATCTTTGAAAATGTCTTGTCCTTAAAATTTCGCAACGTATATAATATTAATTATTATTGTAATACGATGGACATGTTATAAAGATGTTGTAAAACTACCGGACATTTCAATAGCACTTCTCGATTGACATGTACGCCCAATAAATGACTAAATATTAAGAGACTGTATATTATTCTTATTTGCAAATGCACTTTGCGATGAAATGAGTTAAAGCGTATTCTAAAATATGCTGAAATAAAAAATGTATATATATATATATATATGTCAGACTTTGAATTTTGCGAAGAATTATTAACCAAACCCTAAATTAGTGTCCAGAATTTTAAACGAAGTATTCATTTTTAAGATCGGTTCAAGCAGAGTTATGATAGACACATAATGATAGAACCATCTATCCTGGTAGGTAAAACTGAGATCTTATTGAGTTACTTACACATAACTTTGTTTCGAGTTTTATGTCCGTTAGACTTTTTATCAGACGATTGGCTCTCAGCGTGAAACGAAATGCCAGGGTTTGAATCTAGATCACAACGTGTCCTTAAAACCAGCAGGCACGAGGACAAATTTCAAGTAGCAAAACAATAAGAAAACCGATATTATAAAACGCGATAGAGGGAATTGAGATAAACATGATCTGGTGCAATAATGTCGCCCTGTGTGTTATTTAATACTGAAGCGTTATGAAGTTGAACATGACTAATACCAACCATTATGGCAAGTTACTTTTTTAAATGAAATTTTCTTTGATAAGCATTTTTAGCTAAATAAAAACTAAATTTTAACTAAAAACTTTAAAAACTAAATCATAACTACATTTTCAATAACTAAAGAATTATTAAGAGAACATTATAAAAATGACAAACAAACGCTCCCGGTTACAATTGCACCGTAAGCGCACAATCAACAAAAACAAAGATTCCAAAACGGTTTACCAAGTTATTAAGCATCATGTCCCTAGAAAAAAAATATTATTGATTGTTTTAAATAAGAAAACTTATAAGTTGCTGTAGAATTATTTTAGCTTAATTTTAGGTTAGGGCGTGATGAGTGGCACCCTCCCTTATCTAAATTACGTTTTTCTTAAGGGTCCTGTATGCTTCCCCAGGCAATCATCCAGCAGCATATAATATGCTAATACCTGCCTATTATTAGTTATATTTCCAAAAATTAATTGAAATCCGTTTCCAGTTGATTTTATAGAATGTCAATCATATCGTCGTTCAACATGTATACATGTGTACATAAGTACACTTTGCGATTTAACTACTAATAGGTCGTTTTGATTTATTATATTGATATCGAAAATTTAGTTAAAAAAATACTATGGTACGTTGCTTAATTACCCAAAAACTTCCGCTTTATCAGTCAAACCTCGCTTAATGCCACCATTGAAAACAAGGAACCAGGAAAAAATATCCGGAGATTCTCTTGTTGAGTGGCCAAAGTGGATGTACTACAAATACAAGTTTCATTCATTTTCGAAAAAATATCAATTTAAGATATTAAAGTCATTCATCTGCACAGCCCCACAAGGTAGGATTATGACCATGTAAGCGACTATCATGTAATACTGAAAAGTAACTTTTTTTCAGCTTGCATTTGAGATTGTAGCTTCAAGATGAGCGACACTGTAATAAAAAAAAGGGGTGGTCATCTTTGTATCTTTTATTAAGAGTATGGGGAAATGTAAACAATTCTTAGCAGTCCCGTAAAGCCTTACCTCTGAAGTATAGTCAAAAAAAAGGAGCCGATTAAGCAAATTGCACTAACTTACTGACCGATGTGCTCCTCAAAAGTTCGAAAACTTGATAATTTTTTAGTAAAGGAACGTTGATTAATGGCGGATTGACCTATATAGCATTTGCACCATATAATTTATCTTCCATTACATCAATTTATAATTTTTTCAATGACGTAACCGTGGTTTAGTGATTTGTTTTTTCTTTTTTTTTCATTTCTCTAGTGTGCTGCTATTTATAATATCGAAATATGATATCGCAGTCCATCTGTTTCTGATAATTTGTCTATCTATATATTACTTATAAACCCAACCATCATCTCTGAATTGGTTCGCCTGTAGCGCTGTAATATCCCGGCCGCAGAAAGAATCAAATATTATTGATTTCACGACGAAAGCCCATGTACCTGTGAATACGTCTCAATGCCTGTGCGTAACTAGTTTCTACTATACAATTAATACACCATACATATTTCCCACCGCTCCTTGGTTTAGCAGCATGTGCAAAAAATAACGCTGTGTTGGTCATTGACTTCTCTTGAGACAAAATATAACACATTTTCGGCATTCGCTTTTACCCGAACATTGCCAAGAAGGCTAATGGAAAAGAAAAATACTTTAACCAATACAGGTTTGATGTTACAATAACATCTGGAAGCTAGTGATTCCCGTACTTACAACGTTATGCAAAAACGAGTACAATGAGTTACACAATGCCATAAAGTGTACTACCGTTGGTCATGGTTTACAGACTAATGCAACATACCCCTCAGCGGTATTTTTCTGCAGAAACGGAGCTCCATTTTTAAAATCGTTCATAATTTTTTTTATACAACTCATGCGCATCTGCCAAATGGTTAAGGCATCCATCGTTCGAGTACCAGTAAAGCAAACGCACTCTGATGCTGAGATTTTCTTTACTCTAAAAACAAGATAAAACAAATCAAACCCTTCTTAAACTTTACCAAAAAACTGAGTATTTAAAGTAGCCACTATTTAGTATTTATTCCTATTATTCAGTTTTATTAGATCATTTTAGTAATCCGGTAGTCACGTCTTAAAACACCCAAAAAAATCAATAACATATTTCTTGATAAAATGAATTTTCAAAATATGCCATACAAATTATTTCTCATACAAAACAACAAAGCTCTTTTAGAGCCGTTATATATTTATCGCGTCATAAGATGAGCAGATGACACCATAAGGTTTGTGTTATTTACAGCGGCGAATGTGTCAGTAAACCAATAGACAATCATCAAATGGCCTTCGATGCATATCCGGGCTTCAACAACCCAAAAATGATAATACAGCGCATCAACGTTCATTCATTAATTTTCATTTACTATGAAAACAACAGCGTGATTCTGACAAAGGATGGCTGAAGATTACAGCTTACTTAGGCCGAGAAGATTACGCAGCCTCACTCGTTACATTTGTCAGGAGCTATGAAGGCGTAGCGGAAAGCAGTTCCACCCTACATCGAATGATAGAGCTCATTAAAAATATCAAACCCACATAATCTATGTCAACTGCGTTATACATAATGTATACGTGGTACGTACACATAGAGCCTATTTTAATTCAGTTTGCAAAACCAAGAAATTGTGATTAAGCAATAACAGAGATATATGATAATTCTTACGTGTAACAAGCAGTTAATTAACGATTAAACGAATGTTATCTAAATATAGAAATACATTTAAAAAGCAGTATATTGTAACGGCCTATACTTATTAACCTGTTATTTATGTAAGTCCAGTGTCTTCAAGACACTGATTCAAAATTTTTTTTAGACAATAAAATCTGTTGGGAAGTCAACTGTGGATAAATGACCCATAATTTTTTTTTATAGTGGCTCATGTGTGCATCCGCTGGTGTTGGTAAATATTTAGCCTAGGCGTGGCTGCATATTGCAGCGACCATTGTAGTCAGATATGTTATTTTTTCGTCAATATGTATGATTAAGCAGAGTTCCGTTTGAGATGTATGCGCCATGCAAACGTCTTTATTGGTCAAACTCTTAGAAGCGATGTGTCGATGCAGGTCAAGCTTGGGATAAAGTATAGGTGAATCAAATTAACTGTTGTTGTTTTGCCAACCATGAAGAGCTAAAATATTTCGGGAGGGATTTTAGCAGCTGCTTCCATAGAAACCCAGATCTGAAAAAGCATTCAACTATTTATGATGGTTTAACATATATTGCATATTCGTCCAGTTCAATCAAGGATCAAAAGAGCAAGCACTTTTGCGGAAAACAAAAAAAATGCGTACATCATTGGAGCACCTTGCGACGTCTTTGCAGTTAGCAGCACCTTTTTGGTAAATATCTTTTGCGGGATTCTGTTATCTTACACAAAGAATCATATTAAATTTCTTCATTCATGTGTATTGTCAGGCCACATTTAACATAAACAAAATTTTGTTATATTGAAATCAACCAAATGAACTTGACAGCCGAAGAGCAACTGTAACTGATTAATAATCACATTCTAATTATGTATTTATAAAGTAAGGTCATAGTTGTGGCGTTTGCAACGATATATCGAAATTATCGGTTCCGGTGTTTTCTTGAGAGGAGTAAAGAAGAAGTATAATCAAATGACATATTTAAATGTCATAGTCAAAAGCGAATATTTTTTTTAAAAGTGCACGGATGGAAAGGGACCACTCATTCTGACCAACATTAATCTTCTATGGCCCAATTGAACAGATAATCGAACCAAATGAAGTTCTGACCTCTCAGCTTTCGCATACACATGAGTAGTTAGTAAGCACCCAGTACTACTTTTTATTTCTCTCATCTGAAACATTGCGTTATTGTTCTATCTTTGCCTTAAACTAAAAAATATTTTCCAAACAAATAGACTTATCTTACAACGATCAGCTAATTTTTTTTTAAATTTCTTCATATCAATGTACGGCCTATACAGATTTTAATATTAAAATTTATGGCATCGATTATAGCGTCAATACAGGTAGGACATAGTAAAACTTCATCCGGTAAACGGTTACTATAACTTTCTTGATCCTTTCCTATGGAACATCACTGCACTGACATAAGCGAGCTCTCTTTTTACAGTGCCTGGAAATAGCATTATCCTACAGAGCACTCACCGTACCGATGCCAAATTTACAGAAAGAAAACCTTTCATTTGTGATTTTTTTCTAATCACACAGCTCGTCACTAGACCCCATGAGCGTAACTGCCGATTCGCTAACATTATCTATGGATAACCTTGTGTCGATGGACATTTCACATCTACTCCGTGAAATTTCTACTTGCTAAACATGCTGTTTTTTTTGCATATAATTTACGAACCTAGGCGAAAGTGTTTGTTTTGTCCATGTGAACCTGGGTACACTTATGTTATATCCACAAGTCGTCAGATCTTCAGTCATTAAGAGGCCTAATAATATGATTGTTCGCGCTCATTCACAGAGAATACCTGTATTTGCCTGTAGAACGTTTTATATTAAAATCGCCATGAACTAGTGCTGTTAATAATCAAATCAACATGTCTATAGAAATATCCACATTGAGCGAAATAAATAGTTTGCTGTATTACTTACTGGCTTACAGTGTTATTAATTAACTATAAACTACCGAAGTATAATAAGGTACTTTAAAACTAGCTACATTTTTTACCAACTGTTTCTACGATGACATGGCCCTATCAGCGGCCATCATACTTCTACCGTGTCTTATCTTTTTAGCCTAACTGATGTCTCTCCACCCTAAATAGATTTTCATCTTTTCGAAGTATTTGTTTTCAAATACGTGCGAATTAGTGTTCGCTAAAGGCGAGCCACGAGAAGGTTTTAATAAATGTTTAGGAAACTGAAATTATATATATATAATTAATAAAAATAAATAAACATTGCTATTATATAGTACAGCCTCAAGGGTTGTCAAAAAAGAAACAACATACCCCCATTCTAACAGTTATTTGCAGTGTTACCAGAAAAATTATGTTTGCTCTTTACCGTAACACAAACCACTACAGCGTAGCCTGTTGGAAGAACGTTGTGCTCTAGAAAGGTTTCAGTCATCGTAGATTACCGTGTTCTTGGCCAGAAGCACTTCCAATTACAAGTGGGGAGAAATAAAGCCCAAATGAATTCTTTAGGTGTCTAAAGTATGCTTTCAGTCGCATGTTGCTGTACTAAAACGGATATTATTAAATTTTTTTCTTGATAGCGTGAAACATCTGTGCTCAATGGCTCAGAGTAGAACAATTTCTATACATTTATATTTTATATTTTAATATTTACAATGGCTTTTCGCCTTTTCAAAAACCATTTGAATATAAAATAGACTCCATAAATAGCTAACAAGCGAAGCCAAACCTTAATCTCATTTTCTTATATTACCTACCCATATTTAATACAATACGCCTCATTTTAAACGTACGTAGTTTATTTATCAACGTTGTTACGTGCGCTAGTAGGTCTCAATTTAGTAAACGTTCTTCAATATACTGTACTTTGGCAATATAGAAATATGAGACCCAGACATCAATATTACTATCCTCTGTGTCTAAATACCACCGTTTTCGATTATTACAGCTAATATGTAGCAATGGGCGACAAAGTCCATATCCTTTGAAATATGGACGCCAACCAACTATTGCAAAGCAGACAATGGGAAGAATATAAGAATATATGTTCTACGTATTTGAAAGTGCTCTAAGGAAAAATATGCGAAAGTAGCCTTTGTCAACGCCTTTGTTTTCTTATGAATGTACATGGTACACAATGATTCCGCCATGGAGCTGGGTGCTACAGTCTGGCTTCTAAGCTCTTACATGTTGTATTGTTAGTTTAGTTTTTCTTCTATAAACTGTATCTTTAATTTTATCGATATATGTATATCCCTCATGGTCACGTCATTTAATCTATTTAAAGGTGAAAAAGAACTGACTTATTCGACTGATATTCATTCGATTATCAATCAGAATCGTACGTACGTGAGTGTGTGTGTGTGTACCAAAAGAACTAGAACTTTTCTGAAGTAACTTCGAGATCAGTATTGATGTACACCAATACCATCACTTTTATATATTTTTGCATAGTAACATAGAGTTCTATTTTCCAGCTGTCCTTCTGCGCTGATTCTTGGTCTCAATATTTTGCCTTGTCCCTTCTATCTTGCCTGACTTCCCTAGTCAACCCAAATTAGTATTCTTAATTCTACCTTTTCAAATATGCTGACCCGACAGTCATCTCTAGTTTTCGAATAGCCTTCAAGTATCTGAAGGATTAATGATTTCGAATTCGGGTATGACAAAATCTAGAATATAATTTCATATTTGGTGTTGTTGTCCTCTTGAAGTTTTTCGGGTTTGCCTTCGACGTTCTTCACAACGACGGACACCTCTTCAGGACAGCCGTCACAAACACAGCGATCTGCGTCGCATTTCCATTTCGTGCATTGGCGTTCCCAGCACGAGTGGTTGCATCGTTTCGGTATGCACTTGCCCGAATGGCCAGTTTCGGCCGCAGAAAGCGTTTCATTGGTTCGGACCGTGAGGATTTCCGTGGTGACAACGGGCGTCGTTACTTCGTCACCGTTGGGGGCGACTGTTGTTAGAGCTGGCTGGGTAGTGTTCGACACGGCGGATTCACCGCTCTCAACTTCGGAAGTGGTCGGTGTATCTGTCTCTACCGAGCACTGACTACATTCGCAGACGCCATAACGGCAAGAGGTGACCACGCAGCCCTTGCAGTGCTCGGCGCAGTTATGTGCACTGCGGCATGTATGAAGCACGTTCGTCGAGCGAGATTCGACGCCTTCACGAGTGCACTGGCTACAACGACACAGCTTTTCGTCGCACGTGGTCTGCGTGCAGTTCGTGCAAGCGGCCGAGCAGTCATCAGGAAGGCGGCAGGTCTGCTGCATTGTACGATAGACTTTTGCATGCTATGGTCGAATAGAAAAAACGACGCAATTAAACGGAACACGATTAAAACGTGTATAAATTATTTTTTGAACATATTAATTGCGGTAGGTAGCTTAATTTTTTGTGCTATGAATTTTGACGAAATGGCCACATCGCAGAGCCATGCACTATAGAACATTTGTAAACGTCACAGGAAAAGTATTTTGTGCTTGACCTTTAGCTTTACTATTTAAAAGCAGTATAATGTTGCTTCAAGGTATGAAACATGTTCTAGTTAGGTACACCAAGGTCCGTTTTCCAAAGTTGATTTGATTCTTTCTCCACACTGTTTAATGTTGCCTGTCTACGGGTTCATGCTTAGATATAACAAAACTAAAAAAATCCGTATGTACGTACCCCGCTTCCGGAATTGGCCGCTTCTTCGAATAACTTACGGAAATCGATGAGCCCATCGTCGTCTTGGCCACCAAAGGCTGGAAGTCCGAAAGAGGGAAAGAAAATGGTTGGTCGTCTGCGAACGGTTAGGCCGGGCTCCAGGTGTGAAGTAAGGATCGATTTGAAGAATTGGTCAAACGGATCTCTAAAAAGTGGACAATAGCAACTGCGAACAAAAAAAAAAAACAAATTCCATTAGCCGATAAATATGTGTGTCATGCATGTATACCATGAAAAATCGATCTTTATAAAACATACCTTTTTCTGCTAGCGTTAATACTGGTTACCTTTAACACCTCGGAAAAAACTTTGAAAGGCTGCAAACCAATAATTCATATTGTGTTATATTATGTACCTGCAACGATTGTCGTCGAGGCATTGCGAACGGATACAGCCGTTAATTTGGCACTTCACCCGACAAACATACGACGAACACTTCGCAAGTCCAGAAGTATCACCATCTTCGTCCGAATCTGAGTCATTTTTATCTCCTTTAGGTTGAAGGTCAACGACTGGTATCTGTGTGGTTCGCTCCGAGGCATCCTCAACTGGAAACGAGTAATTGAACCGGGTTAGGAAGGTTAGAGTCGGCCATTACAGATATTGGATGATATTAGCTGGAGCATTAGCTGTTAATTTTTATGACCCTATGCTAATAGGCCCTACTGCTTACCCATGTCCTTCAGCACCGGAACGCTTTGGCAATTCAATAAAAACGAATACTTGTACATACTTTGTGAGGCTCTCAGTAACGTTCTATAAGACATGAACATTAACACCTATTAGTAATTTTCTTCTATTATCGAGACTCGTTACTTACACGGGCATGCTCCCGTCGCTTGTAACGACTCGAAACGGCAATGGTGCTCTTGTGAAGAGCAATATTTTTCCGTGGTTGGACTCGTATGCCACTCATTTGCAGGCTTGAACGTGGCCTTGGATACTGGTCAGCTCTTGTCAGAAAGAGTGTTCACGGGAAGTCAAAAGCATAATCGAAAAATGGCACCACGTCTTAGCCAGTCGACAAACAGGGAAGCGACAAAAAAGATAACGGCACAAACCAACGTTGGTCAGCTATGACAGCTACGCACTACCGCCATAGATGTATAACTGTTTCAGGGTAGCTCTCGTATTAAGCCAGTTAACTATCTGCGATCAGAGGACATGGCGGATCCGATAAAAGGAGTAAACTGGTACTCACAACGATGTTCGGGAAAGCACTCGGACGAGATATTGATCAGTTGTCTTACAAATCAGATATCGGGGGGATATCAGTGGATTGGTGCGAGAACCCATGATGTTTTACTGCTCATGGAAATGTTTTTGGCTGTTACTATTGAGCTTGCTTTATATTTGTATGTGTATATGTGTATTATACATATATTGCAAATAGTTTAGCTAATTATGTCGTAGGTATCAAGTATAACAAGTGTCTGCTGATTATTAGAAATTTGGTATACTTTCAACAAGAATGATCCATATTCGGGTCATGCTTACCGACTATAATTACCGATAGCTGATTCGACCGATTTTTTTTTTCTATCCAAAGCGTGCTAGCATGCCAACGAAATATGTTTAGACGCCTCGATTATGCGGAACTCGATAGATAATAATAGAACCGGCATTGAAACCAAACGCTGACCCCAAAAGCAGCTGTGGGGAATTGTTCCATATTTGATTTATTTCGGAACCTATAGGGTCGCACACATTTGTGAAATATTTCTCACTATAGGTATAAACAACCCACGCAAAAATCTGCGGTTAGAGCAAAGACTTATTATAGGAGACCGCTAATACATTTTTTTCATAATGGGCCGTAACTTAATGTGCCTCGTTTGCAACAATACTTTTCTGAGAAAATATCCAATATTCGTAACGTTTATCAGCCGCTTACACTGTTATAGAGGCAAATTTTCAAACAACGAACCACGCCCCTGGGGCACAGAACGTACACATTCGCAGGTCTTATTCCTGCATTTCAGTATGAAGCTAGCGTTTCTGGAATAACAGAAGGTTCACATTCTATCCGAGGTATTTATGAAGAAACGTTGTTAAATAGATCATAGCCTTCAGAAGGTAGAATTTATAATGAAGCATAACCCATATGTATTCACCGACTGCCTGAGAAACGAAAATGCACTCAACATTCTGCATGTTATTGAGTTTAGTCTGATGGAGTTGATAAATTTCGGCGCTTTTAAAGACAACAGTTAAATCACCGGCTAATACCAAAATGGTCATTAGAATCGTTAGAAATCGTCGTCATTGCACTCCAGGACAAACGCTATGCGATTCGCAGAAATAGAAGCTAAAAAAGCTAGAACTGACGTACAACAGAGACAATTTTTTCCATGCAAAATCCTTTTTCTCGAAAAGCGCCAAAAATGTTCCCTCAAGTAATGAAGTTTTATATTCTTTACATAGAAGATATAAAATGTCTATTTTGGCCTCTTGCCTTTAGCTGTATAAGTTTGAATAATTTTAAACTGTTACACTATTTCAGATTTGCGATTACCCTATTGCCTTACTTGCAACTTTCATCACCTGCAGTTCTATAAGAAACCTACGGGAAAAATGATACGCGAAACGTTTGTTCGTCTTTCTGTTTATAGCAATTAGCTTCGCTTCAATCTTCAGTTCACAAAATAGAATCTATATGTGTTATATACACGACATGAAAGTCAAGTGCTTATATCTTCGATGCTGGTATCTTTTGTCACGTAGAATCCAAGCTTTCTTGGACTAACTGGCTACATACGTATGTTGTTTGATATAAATGATCCAATATGAAATTTCGATATCAGTAATCAGTTGCTGTAACAAGAGGCCTCACACTGTCTGATAAGAAAAGCTCACCGTACGATCATTTCAACTTACCGCCTCCGGCCTCCTGCTCCCGTTCAAGGGCTCTAACACCACACAACACCGATAACAGAAACAGTACAATCAACAGTCTCATTTTGTAATGTATTCCTTGAATCCCGTGTCACAATGAACCAGCGTGTCTTGAACCAATATTACGATCAACACCACTCTAGCTCTTGATCATTCCTATAGCAACGCCTCGATCGAATTTTCTTTCTTCGCGTAAGACGATACCTTCTCGTTAGTTGAGGACGCACTTCTATAGTGACTTCCAGTGCGCTAAACTGCTCGACTACGTAAACGCTTACAATTCAACAGATTCATAGATCGTTACAGCTTACAACCGCTAAATGTTTTTTAGAGAGGGTTTCTCTTTTATACTTCTCAGCAGCAGCAGCAGCTATAAGCGGGTGGCGCCCTCGGTGCTGTGCGGTGCCTTGCCACAGCCACGCCACAGACAGGCAGCCTTCAACGATAACAACAACAGCGGCACCACCATCAACGGCAGCAGCAGAGCGGCAGTAGCAGCGATTGGCGCCGAGAGAGGGAAAACGAGGGGACAGCGAAAAACCGAGAAACTACTGTAGCTGGTAGAGCATCGCTAGCAGTAGCAGTTATTGCAATACCCGAGAGAACACGTTTGTTTTTATTATTGACGGACGAAAGACAGTTCGCCAGCTTGCTAGGTCTTGCTACCCGCTAACGACGCCAATTATAGTGCAGCGCGATACAGTAACTATATTGTAGAGAAAAATAACTCATTGAATTGTACTACCATCGGGCCCTTCTTATTGACTCGTAGCCTCTGTGTATCGAACTCGCAAATGATAAGAGACAACTGTATCACTTGTGCAGTTTAGACCGTATAAGTTTATTTTGCTATACGTGAATCATATGTCGTAAAAAAACACTGTTTTAGAATAGGTTTGCAGGTAGTATTCTGTTCGATAATAAGAGTGAGGTCGGAGACAGGAGTAAGGATACCCAGATAAGGGACAACCTTCTTAAATATACCTCCTCTCAATGAACGATTGGCAGGAGGTATATTTAGTAGACGAAATAAATTTAATAAAAGTGATTACGCTGCGCATTCTACACACGAGAATCTCTAACAGAATATCGTCAGCTGGAAAAAGACACGTTACTGGCTCTACTTAAGGAATACACATCTAGGACAAAAGCATTTTCGATAATCTCACCGACGGACTAATAGACTGATGAAGATAATATAGTTTTTTTCTTCGTGTCACTAAAGCGCACCATCAGCTACGGGATCATTTCTAAACATGTCTACGTATGAGATTACTTTAAGTAACCCGAGGCTGATCTAGAAAGAAGAAGGAACGGAAACTCAGTCATACATATGCTTAGCCTTTGGCTATCGAAATAAACCTTTGACATGAAATAAAAGAGAACAAGCTGTGCTTAGAGTGTTATCAACGTACATCTATACAAAATGACTTAACACAGTGGTGGGTTTTAGGAAGAACCCCAAAGTGGAATCGATTACTTAAGGTTAAGCTACCTAAGGATTAAAAGTAAAATAAAACTCTACACTCGTAGTGAGTTGATATTTTTTCATGGCAAGTTCATTGCTACATTAAAAAAGGACTGTTACTTTGATCATCCATTAAAATGTATATCAATGTAATTATCGAAAATTAAAAGCCTAATATAAATGAGTTTTTTAAACAATATAGTAAGATGCCTCTAATCATAAAAAAATCAACGAAGTACATCATATACGACTGGTCATAGATTAATTGTCTTGGTGAGATTATGGAACTCAGCCATAGTGTTAGATATACACAATCATACAACCTCTGAAAAATTCCGGGCCACAAATTTCTACTAAACGAAATCAAACAAAGACCATAGGTTAAATTTCTGGGAAAATTTTCTTCCGAACACCGCCCAATCTGTGAATTTTTCTGCCCACTAGTGAAGAGCAAAGTGAAAATCGTTTATTTAGTCGATAACTATCGGGCGGTGGGGTGCTGAAACTATCAGGTCGATCGATTTCGCAAAGTAAACAAAAACAAATTGGCTGTAGCGCACAACGAATGCGCCTGTGTTAGCCTTTCTGCGCGCCAATAAATCATATATATACCCATAAGAAACTTTTTTGGATGAGAGAAACAAGTGAAAAACCCTAAATACTAAGATTCTGCTAGCTAATCTGATAGATTCAGCTAAAACCTTTTTACGAATATGCACGTGTGATTTGGATACTTAATCCCTCTACATCCATCATTTTTTTTTAACAGAAATCACATGATCGACTAATACACATGTCACTAGTATTATAAGGAAACTTCATCTACAAGCAGTAAATTTGATCACAAAATGAGAAGTCACAAAAACAATGATACATTTCTATCTTTCGTCTCTTGAGAGACGCATCGAAAGAGATGCATCTTTTTCGTCAATCATCTCGTGAAATAATGCCGTGAGAAACCAGCAAGCGAGTACTGGAGATACAGGTGCGCCATAAGCGAAACCCTAATTGGTCCTTTGTTAATTCATTGCGGGTAAATAATGACAAATGAAAGCAGGTTAGCAATTATTTATATACAGTGCCGCCATAACTTCGAACGCTCATGTAGGCATGAATGGTATTATGCATTTGATTTACGCATCCATCACCATCGAGCCATACAGAAGGGGCAAAAGAAGTACTTCTGCAATTCGATAAGATGTATGCCTAAGCTTTAAACGATACAATGAAAAACGTAGCTTGGTAATTAAAGAGCCCACTTACCTCTCTAAACGAAAACCTTTATTCTCGTAATATTGCTCATTTGAGAGTTTAAGTTAGTCAACCTTTTCTTTCTTTTAGGAATCTGATGACTAAATTTATTTTAGGTGCCTTTCATTTCATTCAGAAACGATATTTTACTTTCAAATCCAGTCCAAAGCATTACCATGCACTACAGTTATTGATGACTATTATGTATGTATCGAACATGTTTACTAAAGGCAGCTTAGTAAAGTAAACATAAAAAGGACGAAGTAAAATGTCCTCACATTTAAAAAAATCAACGACAGCCCATGATTTTTCGGTTATTATTGAATCTTGACGTAAATATGATTAGTTTATGAAATGATCCTAGTAGAAAGGTTGATCTAATACCACATAGAGGATGTTCAGTATAGAGTACAGCATATATCGCTGGTTTGTAAGTTGCATTTAAACTGAGATAGGCTTTTGGGCTAAACATTTTGTATGAGTCTACATCTTTCGCGGGTATGTCTATTTAACGTAACTGCCACATGTTCGGCACAAAATTCGGCCCAATAATATCCTGCCAACAACGATGATGGTGATTATAGCCATCAGAATGGTATCAACTTATCGGTATTTTCCCAAATCGCAAAGAAGAGCCATTTGATCCTATTGAGCCTTCTGATTCATCCCTTATCATCTAAATGCAAACGAATGTTTTTAATACTGTTCAGACTAGTATATACATATATATACCATTCTCAGTTACTCAAGTATTTTTCAAATCGGTTTTGTTATTCAGAACAGATTAAAATAGTACTCCCGAATGGAACAATTCCGTGTTTACTTAGGATACTAATGTGTGTGGCCGATGGGTAAGTGGTTAATCACTCCTGCGATGATCACCGACCACTACTGCGTGTTACAACGAGCGAAAGCCAACTATTTTTTCTGCTATGTGTTATACGATTACAGTGCGCCCTAGCTACTCTGTTGACAGAATAGGACGAGAGATTCAAGGGCAAGCATACGCTCGCGTAAAATACGTGGTTTCTGCCTCACTTGTGCGCGCCCTGTCCCATAACGACAGCGGCTGTCAAGTTGTTCCAGCTAGCTGTTATTTACTTGCTTTGAAGTGAGCAAGACGCTGTGTGCATGTTTGTGTGTGTCGGCTTCTGGTTTCCACCAAAAACCATCATACTGGCGACTATGAAAACCCGCAAGAACTTCTGTAATAGAACGACACCTGGCCTACAAGCCAACAAACGCACTATATTGTAATGCCGTTGTTATTCTTGGAAAGAAATGGCGTCCATATTTTGCATGAAATATTACTCGCATTATAGACTTGTTATCATCACTGACAGTAATAGGATCGGGTTAGGCGTAAGTCAAGTAATACATATCTGTGTCGGTGAACTATTACATTTGAAATTCTCCGAAAAAAAAAGAAAAATAAATTTATGGAATCAACCGGTTTATAAGTTCATAAACCACAGGCCAAATCAAATAAAACGAAAATAAAAAAGAATAAGCGTATAAAGATTTTTACTTCGCCTGTTTATAATGTAATGTAAGTGGAATCAAGTGGAGCCACTGATTCAAGCAAATAAGTTCACCAATTAGTAATGTAAAAATTGCCGTTCACAGATTGTACGTGATAATTCGGTATGGCACACATTTTTTTTATTACCGCAGCTGAAACAGACTGGAGAAAGTTGGTTCTATTGACGTATCATCAGATTTCAGAGCAGCAATTTGATCAAGACATTCAAGCTGACAATTTAGAAACAACGTAGTGCAGATGAATGATCAGGTAGTAGTTAAAGCTCTATTTAATTATATTTAAATACTTGAAGCCTCTAATAAGGCCTAAAAACAATCCGCAACTATGCCTTGAAAAATTTGTCGCTTCAGAAGTTGGTTAACGAAACTGCAAGTTTGGAACTTCTTGTATGAAATGGCACATAGCAATTTTAATATATGCTACTGCTGTAAAAGCAGGCACAAACTACTTGCTTGATCACAGATAATTTCTCATATGGATAAATCTAGTCAACCAGCTGATTCAAACAGGAAGACACTGTATCCACAAAAATCTTCTATGACACGAAGTGTGACTGGCTTAAGTTCTTGAACTAATTGTTCTCTCTGAGTAAATTCTATGTGTAGGAGACGCTTTTCTAGCAACGAAAATGTCAGTAAATCAACTAACTTGATTCATATCCCTCGCATGTTCGTTTACCGTTAAGATTATCTTACTGCCGGAAATGAATCAACCTGCATCAGCTTATGGCCGGGGAGCTGTGTTAGCGTGTTGAGCGTGTCCACTTTCTCCGAAGAGTAAATCATTACATTAATAATCCTAATACAGGAAAACTGATGTCCTCTACTTGCTCGCTAGGACTGGATTGCACAGTTAGTCACTACAGTAATACACATGCCTGTGTCTAAATAAGGGTATTTATATACTTGCCGATGACCAATATCACCTTCACCAATTATTTGCTATGCTCAGCTGCAGAGGAGCCGACTGCAAGCCGGCTGATTTACGTGTAGTAGACCGCATCCTTCAAATGTAGATTCATCAAGCCCGTGAGTTCGACGTGGAGTATATATTGTTCTCCTTAAA